ATTCATCACAATTTGTGTCGAATCTAACGAATAGTTTTTGTCGATTTCGATATAGATTTTGACGAAATCGTCGGTTTGGTCCCACATATAGTTAGTCACTACCACTGAACCCAATGCTGACTCACTTCTGGCCGAAGACTCATTAGTGGCCACAGAAGGAGACGAACTATCGTTAGAAGCGATGGCCAACGACTCCGAAGCCACCAATTCTTTACGTTTGGCCAATAGTTCGCTCTTTTCTTGTGTCAATCGTTTGCTCTCTTTTGACAGCAATGTCTTCACGTGTTGTCGTTTGGCCAACAGTTCCAATGACAACAATTCAGACAAATTGTGGTCAATCTGTGGTATAAAACAGGAATCAATAATTTCTTGGACCAAAACAATGTCCACTTCAGTACCTCTTCGATGTCTTTCTTCAATTGTGCGGCCATTTTGTGTCCGCAAACAAGTGTTCAATCGTTTGACAAAGTGTTCAAGTATTGGATCCAATGGTGACAATAGAATCGGAAGAATTGTTTCGTTGATAACTGTATTAATTGAACACAACTTTTGTATTGACTGTCAATTGAAAACAGAATTTTCTGCAATATATGACTCAAAGAAAATGTTACGTTTGTTAAGGGGTTTATCAAAACCCCAAACACTACTTCACTATTGATTGTTAGTTAAAAATTATAAATGTTTTTCTAAAAGCGTAACGTTTTCTATGAATGGTTTCGTTTCATTGGCAATGTTTTTGAGCGAAAGCGTGGTTTTGTTTTGTCACATAAATAGTTTTCAGTAAATCCCTGTTAACGGGAATATTCCCTATAAATTACTTTTAATTAATAAAAATGTTGTTTAATAAACCAAAAAGAATATATTTAATTAGTATTTTAACCTTGATGAGAAATTTGTTAGAATAAAAATCAGTGATTAAAACGAGCATGGTCACTGGTTTCTGTGAAATATTCCCAAATCTAATAATGTATTTTCTAGGAATTTATATAAATTGATGGTAACTCTCACACCCTTTGGAAACATAACATGTGTTTCTGTGAATGAGTTTTGAATGTGAATTAAATTTGATTCAAAGAGTTTTGCCATAAGATTGTGATTACAATGAATTGTTTCGGAGATATTGTTAAGCATAACAACAATTTTGATGAGACATTGAACACAACGATCAGTCGTTTCTCGAAATGCAAGACATCGGCGGACAGAGTGTTGATCACCGAAAGCACTCATTTGGTGGCCACTTATGAAACGGCACAAGAATTGGTTCCCTACGAGAGCTGGACTTTCCCTCAACTGAACCGACTATCGGTTCCCGTTATCGCGTGTTTGGACACAACTGATGGCCGCGAATACATGGTTGCCATACAAGAGCCCAATTCGCTGACCAAATGGTCATTCGGCGAACCGAAGACCAGACTTGAGAAACATTTCTTTAATACAAAAATTGTGGGTTTGATTGACTTCGATGTCCAGAATGTGGAACCGATTGTTGTCTTTGAGAGCGGCTTTTGTCAGTCGATGTCTACAGCCATACAAACTAGACGTGAAGAACACGACAAAAGAAACATTGGAACCGATGAATGCATTCAATCGATCGATGGCTTAGTAGACAAAGAGATTAAGGATTTGATAATTATTTATTTGATTACAAAAAGTATTGATTCAAATGACAAACGAATGAAACGCATATACAAAATATCATTCAATGCTGACATCGATGTTATGCTGAGGATAGATAGCTATCCAGTTGTCAACGCATTTAACAATTGGTCACTTTGTAAGAGAACACAGAATATGTTGGCCATCACGGGATCAGATGATGGACTCGTTGTGTATTCATTGGACGGCAAATCGGAGAACGAGTTTTTCAAACCAAATGGCAGTTCAATTGATAAAGTGATAAGTTTTGTCACAACAATCGCCGGCAGTGTTTGTCTAATCGGCAAAAGTAAAGATTCAAACCATTTGATTGAGTTGTGGGAAACGAGATACGGATCAAAGTTGGGTTTAATTAGTTTACCGTCGGAACCACTGACTAACGATTGCAAAATCATTGACGACTTGCTGTTTATCACTTGTTTTAAATGCATTATTTCTATACCATTACGCATACAATCAATTAGTTTATCACAAATTGTGGGCAAAACTGCATCTAAAGAATCGGCGTTTGAATCGCAAGTTAATCATATGTTGAAAAGTATTTGCACTGACTTTGAATCGGGTTCTTATAAATCATATAACGATATAAACACACGACTAACACAACTGATGGAACACATCGGCGGCAATATTGCCGAAGACATCATATTAAAGCTGGTGATGATCTGTTGCACACAATTGTCACAAAATAGTAGCCAAGAATTGAAGGATTTATTTGAAAGTGTGGTTTCGCTGCCATTCAATGACTTATATATGATATCGCGATTAAAGTCATCAAAACTAAAGTTCTCTCAAATATTGCTTTGTTTGAGTGTATTGTCAGAACTGTTGCCATCGAAGAAGTCTGCGGTCTTTGATTGGATTTCTATATTAATTGATTCGCATATCAATGAATTCATTATGAATCCAAATGAGGAGACCATTCAAGTGTTGGAAGCGATCGACACTAAAGTCGACAATTCTGGCCAATTCTATGAACATTTGGGACAAATTAAAACTCTAATCGATCTCATAGTCAATAAAAGTGGAGACAAAAGCGTACCGAACGGTGGCCTCAGTTTACCGAAGCCTAAAAGAGGCCAATACTGTATCGAGATTTTGAGATTTTAATTAATTTTAATACTGTATTTGAATTTAAAATATCATACAATTCTTATAATAAATAAAATCAATGATTGATTGTAAAAATATATCACAAAATATTTCCTAAAAACAAACAAAAATTTGCATAAAATCTGTTAAATAAACATTTGTAAACATTAGTGATATAATAATGTAAATAATTCATAGATTCTTAGAATTTAATTCAATTTCATTAAGAAATAGCTCTAAGAAACGGTAAACGAATAGTTTATTTGACTCTCGATTCTCTAGTTTTGAGAGAAAATTAGACAAAAGCCTATCGATTGATAGATTGTCCGCAATATATGGTAAATAAGGGCTCAAAGAATTTAATTTGTATTTTAGGTGCGAATATAGGATATGTATTGTTTGGACTAAAAAGTGATTGTTTTGTACTTTAGATTCATTTTCATTTTGTACGTCAACTGTTGTACCATTGTTTGGCCAAATCAACGAATGCAGGGAATGGATCTGTTCCACAATTATGTCTTCAGATACATAAGTTGTTAGCAAATCGTTTATAAATCTGCAAAACAGCAAAAGTTAATAGTTTGCAAACATTAAGAATTAAGACTTACTTTTCAATAATTGTACCAAAAATAGATTCAATAAGTCTTATATTAATTAAACCATAATTTGGATCCAATTTATTTGTTATCAAAAGAATACAGCAATTGATTGCATGACTAGAAGTTGTTGTTTGAATATTATTGGATTCAAATGTATTACTAATCGATTCATTGCTTTCATTTCGCATCATTTCATCGCCAGTTTGAGACTCATTGATGGGGTCTTCGCAGCCATCGCCTCGAGAACGAGGGCCCAGACCTCCAATAATACCGCTTCTGTTCTCCTCTTCACACAACTCCAGACCTATTGAAATGTCTTCTCTTTTAGAATCAAAATATCTGATTAATGTTTCGTCAGAAGAATATCTCTCTTCTGTCCAAATATTGAGTTTCTTTTCTAATTGCATGTAATTATTGGACTCGACTTCGGCCACAATCGACCGAATTGTCACCTTCTCGTTGTCGGCAACCATACGTTCGCCGAAAGTGGGATCAATTCGGCCGATCTGTGGCTCGACTGGCAGTGCGTTCTTCATTATACTAAGCGCTCCCTTCACTCCTCTATACAAAACTCTATCGATATTTAGCGGTAAAATAGTATTGGATTTGTTGGCCATATAAGCGGTGCGACCATCGCTTCCGTAAGCCATGAACTTTTGAAATTCTGGCGAATCGACGATTGCCTTCCGATTGCATAACTGTTTGAGAAAGTTTTGCAAATAAATTCGTCTAAATTCAATGGTCGAGGCGTCGAGACGGGTATTACCCGCACCCGTGAATGCCAACAGATTCTGTGCCGTGATTTGTATAGACGACGGCTTTTTAATGCCTTTTAACAGCCGTCGCAATGACTTATTCCTGTCCAACACCTTCTGTAATGTCATGAATTCACTGAATCGTCGATAGACTACAACTTTTTGTCGATAATAATAGGAGTGTTCGCTGCAGAGCGACGAAGTGCTGCCACTAATTGTCGGATCAATTATCTGCTGGAATAAGGCGTCGTATTCTATGACATATAATGTATAAGAAGATGTGTTTTTGATTTCATGGGTTCCGCTAATCACTAGATTTGAGATAAGCTTTTCATCGAAGTCTTCGTCCGCTTCGAGCGCTTCCATCGCGAGTTCATCGTTGGACTCGTTTCCACTCAAATCACTCATTTCACTGACTCTTAAATTATCTATAAATATAAATATTGATAAATAAATTATTTATTAAAAAAGATATAAATTTATAAATATATTAAAATATTATACAAATATAAGTACTTTATATGATATATAAAATTAATCAATAATATAAGTATAGGTTTTATACCATCGGTTAAACTAGTGATTGAGTCAATCCTCATAAGTTTCACATCATTTAAGGCAATCGTCGGACAACTAATTGAATGAAAGGCTGTTTCTGTTTGGATCTGTTTCTCAACATTAAGTTCAACGATTGGATTAAGACGTTTGGACTCATTCTCGAGTGCGTTATCACAAAGTTTATGATTAAAGTTTGTAATTAAAAATAAAACATTTTCATAAATAAACTTTTGTTCAGTTATTATATCAATGATAGGAATAAACACAGAATGGGTTAACAGTTGCTTAAGAATCATAAACAGCGATAAATTGCGGTCTTTTCCGGTTTTGGTCATCAATGGTGTGATATCGTCGGTCGCCGTCAACTCAAGCACTCGTTCAACAATAGCGGCCACTCTTTCGCACTCATTTGGATCAACATTTGGGTCACTCTTTGTGTCTTTCAAATGAGTTTCCAATAAAATCAATGTTTTGCGCAAAAATACCTCTTTGTCCACACATTTGACGCATTTGTCAAACAATTGGCAGAATATTTGCTCAATTATCTGTTGACAATCGGTGGTAAAGTCCTGGTTATCGGATCCAATCAAATCATACCAGAAGTCAATGTATTTGTCTGTTATTATACGCGAAACGGTTTCCGATTCACACCTTATGTCCAAACATTGGCCGCAAAACAATGGTTTGTCGGCCGAAGAAGAAGTACCAGAAGTGACGATCGGATCACTTGTTTGCTTGAGTTTCGCCCAAATCTTATCGATTGTATAAATGGCTAAACGTTTAGACAATTGTATGAAAAGTGAATCAATGGCTGAAAGGAGTGATTGTTTGCGAATCCACTCAACAATTGGCACTCGTTTTGAATGCTTTGATTGAATAGCGTTTGAAATGAACGCAAAGTTTATTATAAACACAATTAATATGAATGAAAATAATAGCAAA